AAACGTAACTAAAATTTCTTTGATTGACTTTAACTTGTGTGTATTTTGAGACTTGGTCTTTTTTAATTTTTTTTTATTGATTGCATAATAAAAAATAATTTTTTTATTTTTTATTTTATTTCACTCATATATTGTGCGATTCAAGTTTAAGATTTTTTACTTTTTAATGAAAAAATATTACCATTAAATTATTCAAATCGTTAATTTTTTAACTTATTTTAAGAATACATTTTTATATTAGTTCAAGGTACTCAAAAAAATAAATTAAAATGGGGTGTGGGTATGGCCGATTTAATAAAAAATTCAAATGCTTGAACCTAACACTATTTTAAATTTTATTGCTAGCTAAGATTCTAACTTTGTTTATGATAAATGAATTTTGAAGCATCGATTGAAAGATTCATCTATTAGGATTTTTTTTTTTAAAAATTAGACAATTTAATTAATTGCAGTCCCTACATTGAAAATGATATTTTGGTGTATGATTGATCTCTGCCAGCAAATGATTGCTATGGGGAGATGTTGACGTGGATAGATCCCAAAACATCATTGTACAAGCAACCCACAAAAATCGTTACCCGTAGAGAACAAAAACAAAAAGACAAAGGGGCGATATAAGAATAATTTTTTTATATTATTTTTTATATAATTTTTATTTATTATTAAATAAAGAAATCTATTTAATATTATAAATTTTAAATAAATAAAATAAATATATTATTTAAATAATATATAAAATTATAAAAAATAATATAAAAAATTTATCTTAAGTTATAAGAAATGATTTTAAAATAATTTTTTTATTATATTTTTGTATAACTTAATATATTATTGAAATGATTAATTTTTTAATTCATATAAAATTAATAATATTAAATATATTTATTTATTTAATAACATATAAAAATTATATCGAACGGTTCGTTTTGATTTGGTAGCATTGGATTTTAAGTTAGGATTATTCACTTCTGATGGGTTGTACGTTCGAGTTTCACGAAAATTTTTTCTTTTTTTTCTTAATTAATTCTGTAAATAATTACAAATTATTCCAAAAAAAATAAAAATTATATCAAAATATAATATAAAAAAATATTTATTATTCTTAATTTTTAATAAAATAAAATATTAATTTTAAATTATTTTATTAAATTTAATTTAAATTTTAAAA